TATTAATAATTTCTTTATTCATTCAAATGGAAGTTATAAGCAAGCGTCAAAATCTCATTGACTTTTGTTATACTCGTAAAATGCATGGATATCCACAATGAAATTTCATGGACATATAATAACATGTTACATCCATGCAGAAAATGATTAATGATGAGTTCTTAGATGACGTTGAGTATTTAATACATGAAGCATCTCAGCTATCTGTTTTTAATTCAAATAATTTTGTTTATTTATATGCATGAAACACTAGAATCAATTATACGTTACGTCCGATGAAGTTGTATTCGCAATGTAAGGATTTCATTAAAATTATTGGTTCTGGACTTCACATGATGAGTATGAGCAACGTATTATTACTCAAGTTGGTGGTTTGATGAGCTAAGCTCCAAAAGAATATGATTCCATAAGATATAAAAAAAAGGTGTTCGATATAACAAAAGTTCAGTTTGTTGGGGTAATGGAGGAGAAGATATCAAACAACAGCTCACAAAATCATATGAACTATTAAACATAGCAAAACAGTCATCATGGCTAAAGTGCATGAATTACAAATTATCTATGGCGATTAGAATGTTGAGCAACAAAGCTGAATACAATATCGCTTAAATATTACTATCAATTTGCAGAGTTGTTAAAAAAGACTAAGAAAAAGGAACTAGGATTTATAGAAAATAAAAATTAGTGTCCAAATTAAGTTTAACCTCACAGAAATTATTTTATTCAAATTATATACAAATTTTGTCGATCCAACAAATTCAAACCACAAATTAAAAAAAAAAAAAAGCAAACAAAAACAAGTTTCATATAAGCATTTTCTTCTATTTGTCACTTAATCTACATCTTCAAAAATTATACACATCTATGTGTTCTACTAAGCATATGGGATGCAACAAGAAAGAGCGAGCAAAGAGATTTCTTTTGAATTAATTCTCAGATGAAGAAGCATGGAAGTACTTCAACTATACATCTTGTGCATATTTGATTTAGTTGTCAAACTACAATTTATGAAAATAAATATTTTTTACTTTTATAGTATATTTACAAAATTCAAATAAATATTACAAATTTTGCTTATTTACCTTTCACACTATATTTTTTGTACTTGTTAATAAAGTTATTATTGCATGTACATTTAGGTTAGAAAATTAAAGCATAGTATATCAGGTAAAAATGATTGGTGAAGCGTCACGTGTATTGTGATAAATAAAAAATAAAACTGATGACCAAAGCAAAAAATAATAATAATAAAATATTCCGACAGAAGAAGCTTGGTAGAGAAATAAATAATTTCCTGAATCTTGATATTATGGTTGGGATAGAATAATTGATATTAGGGGATTGATGATAAGTGCGATGTTGGGACGATCAATTTTTATTAACGATTATTATGGCCAACGAGCTAAGTGACGCTCCAACGAAATGAAATATATAAAAGCTCATGCAAAGATAACGTGATATTTCTGATATAGATAATATTTAGAATAAGAACGAAAATAAAAATAAAGCAAATATGCATATAACACTGCATAATAGTGTGATTTAAATGACTTGTCAATTTTGCCTATTTATGATAATCATTGTATTTACTGCATATACGCATGTTTTATTCATTATTAAAGCATTAATGCATGTTTATTTATTAACTATTGTGATTCATATCTTATTTTAGCATTATTTTCTTCCTGAGCATGAAGCTTACCAAATACTTTATTGTTACTTTTCATAAGGGGTGAGGTGCAGGTGGTTCATCAGTCAGCTGATTTGTTATTTTGTATAGTTTTGATTGTATAATTTTGAATGATTATAGAAGACATTTGGATTACATATGATTTCTATATGCATTTTAGAAGCACTATACTTTATTTGAGGATTGTTTATACCTGCTTCCTAGTCTATGTTGATGTTAGAGAATTAATCACAAGTTGAACTGTAGGGTTTTTTTGTGAAGATCCCGTAAGATTAATTTTCTAATTGATCCTAATAAGTACATTTCAGAATTAGAATCGGTAGAATTAAGTCAAACTGAATCATAATCTTCTGTTATAGCTCAGATTGACTTGAGAGAGTTCATTAGGGTGTGACAATAATCAGCAAATAGAAGAAGGAATCTTACATAAGATTGTTGTTGATACCGGACTTAACCCAAATAATACTAAGCAAGTAAATATTATTACCGAAAAATTCAATAGACAGGTTACAACCAACACACTTAAAATGAAAAAACAATAACAAACACAAATAAACACCAGTAAAGTGCATCCCAAAAGTGGTGGAAGTACGCTAGATGGATCGGAATGGCTGGCATGTGTGGTAGCAACAAAGGAATGCTAGTACTAGTGAGGGGGAGGTGAAAAAATGCAGAAACAGCAAGTATGGTTGCTGTCCTGGATGGTGGCAGCAAGGAGTTGGGCTGCGTAGCGGCAAAACAGCCAGAAGGTTGCGTTTCCAAGGTGTCCTGGGCAATGACAGCAAGGTGGGAGGGCTGGAACAGCAGGAACAAGGCTGGAAAGGGGGTGGTTTGGGTGGCAGCAATGCAGGACAGGAAGAGGGAGGCGGCTGGGTGACTGCAGAAAACCAGCAAGGCAAAAAGGTTTTTGGGTGGCGGCAGTCATGATGGGGGGCTGGAACTGCTGTGGCAGAAAACGAAGGGAGGGGAAGGCAATGGCAACGAGTGGAACAACATAAAAGAGCAACCAAAATGTTGTCCTGGGCGGCTGCAATAAAGAAGGGCGGCCGCAAGTGACGTGGGGATGCGGAACGGGATAGGGAAGATACACACCACAAAATTATATTCAAAGAGTGGTGGACGTCGGCTATGTGGATCAAAATGGCTGGTGGATGTGGCACAAGCAAATGAATGCAGGTAGCAATGAGGAGGTGTGAAAATGCAGGGAAAGCAAGTATGACTGTCGAACTGGATGTCGGCAGCGAGAAGTTAGAGTGGGTAGCGGCGGAACAGCAGAAAGGCAGTGTTCCCTAGCAGTCCTGAGAGGTGGCGGCTGGGGGAGGGCTGGAACAACAGTGAAAAGGCAGGAAATGGGCGATTTGGGTAGCAGCAATGCTGGAAGGGAAGAAGGAGGCAACTGGGAGGCTGCAAAAAGACAGCAAGGTGAACGGGGGTGGCAGCAGCGGAACAGGATGGTTGGACAGCAGCGGCAGCGATGTTGGTGGGCTGGAACTACCAAGACAGCAAAGCGGAGGGAGAGGAAGGAAATGGCAATGGCTAGAACTGCAGAAATCAGGAACCAGAATGCTATACTAGGCGGTTGCAGCAGGGAAGGGCGGTCGGGAGCGATGTGGGGAGAAAGCAGAACGGGATAGGAAAGATACACACAATTTTGAGACCAAGATACAGCCAAAGCACTACCTGGAACCCTAGGATACAGCCCTCGAAGGGAAGAATAAATGAGGAGAGTTGTGTGGGCTGCTGGGAGGATGGCAGTAAGATTGGCAATGGGTTGGAGGCGATAGCAGCGAGGATGGATGGCTGGAACGGCGACGATGGATGTGTTGGGCTGCCAGACAGCCAAAGGAAGGCGGTTTTAGGCAGGGGCAGCAAGGAGAAGGACTGGACAAGGAAATTGCAGAAAAAAAAACAAAAAAAACTGCTATACATGCAGCGACAAGGAATGCAAGGCAGCAAAGTGGGAGGGATGCGGAGGGGATAGAGAAGATAATCACCATCATGAGACAGTGATACAGCCGGAGCACCACCCAATCCTTGGATACAACCCTGAAGAGAGAAGAACGAACAACGACGGCCATCCTAAACAAAACACACGAAAAAATAGAATTTCAAACCCAAATACAACACATATATAGGAAAGGAATAAAAAAGAATGAAAGATAATAGAAAATAAAGCATAACAAAAGAAAAACGGGATTATTTCGGTGTCAATTTCAATAACTACTCTCGTGGTACAGCTACAGTACCGAGGTAAGCTCCCACGTCAGATTCGCTGCAGGATGGTGGATAGCAGAAGCAGCTGACGTTATTCCTAATGTGTTTAGAAGGTTGTAACTGTGCAACACAGCAGGTTTAGGGATCTTCAGAATCTATACGTAGCTAATTAAAATTCTAGGAAAATTTCCTGATTTAATATGGTGATGCTGTAGCTTTCAAGTCTCTAACATCTGATCTCAGGATTTCTGCAAGATTTTCATGACTTAAATCATACTTGTCTAAAAAATAAAGCAGAAAAGTGCACTTTCAGAGACCATTTTGAATTTATTAACCATTGTTGAGACTAGATTTCCATTCTATTCACCCTTGCCAATAAACACTTACCTATGAAATTTAATCATTAGACAAAGAAGACTAATAATATATGCGAGCTAAGAAGACCAATATATGTGAAAGCTTCCATTCTTGTAAATGGGGAGTTAGGTACTGAAATTAAACATCATCAAAAGTCTACAACAAAGAGATTCACACTATTCCTCACCAATATTTTTCGTTCTTTTTAGCATCATTAAAGCACGTGGCATACAGATTTATCGACATTTTAGATCATTCATTAATGCATCAAAATTTTTATAATGGATGACTCTAAATGCGTGAAAAGAGAGTTAAATTTTTAAAATATTGGAGTTTCAAATGAAAAGTAACACGTTATCAGTTAATGATTTCTTGCATCTAATGAATCATATTGATTTGTGAAATACATAGGTAAAACTACATTATATCATGAATTGAAAAACTCATTAAAGAAGTTATATAAGCAAATAAAAAAGTGTCAAAATAGTCCCTGAATTTTGCAAGGGGCCATTTTAGACCCAGAGTTTATAAATGTCAATTAGTTCCCAAACTATTCCCATACGAGGACTACTTTAACCCCGTTAAAACAATCTAGAGACTAATTTAGCACTTTTTATAAACTTGCGAACTAAAATGACCGCATATAAATAATCAGGGGACTATTTTAACACTTTATAGGTAAAGCTAGAATATATTAAAAAAATGTCAGCATGTAATAATTGCTAATTAGTTTTAGTACCTGCTGAAAATCGTAGCAGCAATATGACAGATATTGAGTCTGACAGAGATTAAAAATTTCTCTCGACTGAAGGAATCCTCATTAAAAGAATTAACAGGATCAAACTCGGTGGCCTCATAAATATCCTGCACTGGAAAACCATGAATAAGAACAAGAGATGATAAGATACTTCATAAAACATAAAATTTTGATTTTATATGACCTTTATCATCTCATCAGAAACAACACCAGCAAATGAACTATTGTCAGCTGTACCACCAGCTCCAAGCATCCCCAATGACAGCCAATTCAACCATCTCCGAGCACTGCTAGATGACCTATCATCATGTTGCTTCTTTTCATAAGCAGAAATTGGTGAACTCTCATCATTCGTTCCCGTAGGAGGAAATTTAACCTTGGAAAGCTCCTTCGATTCATCAAGACAAATAAGCAAAAATTATAAAAATTAGATTCCAAAAGAAGCAGTTACAACACACTTTCTTCAAATTATTGCTCATATAGACATAAAAATTAAGGTGTGCAATTAAGTTCCCGTCTATGCATCTACGTGTGTTTTGACCTCTCACATATAAGACTGTCAGTACATACACATGCCCGGAACAACTTTCACAGCTCATTCACCTTTAGTCATGGGACTTACTAAAATTTTGATAGATAAAACATGCATAGTTTTTCCCCAAAAAGAAGAAATTTTTTCTAGGCAATGCCCATTTTCAACAAAAAAGTTAAAATATGGATTGAGTGGCAATGAAAATTATACTTGCAATTTTTGCTCTGCAGACGACCTGTAATTTAGGATATCATTGATATCGCACTCCCTGTCCATTTCCTCCAGCTCAAGAAGAATATCTTTACTGACAACCTGGGTAAAGCATTTTACAAAAATAAACACATGTATATGTGATAAACTAATAAGCAAGCATCAGTTCTGAGGATCAAAAATGGGTAAATTATTATGGACAAAACGTATGATAATTTCATCTTCTCATTTCAAAAAAAAAACAATATTCAGACGAGAAACAAATGCCAAATTTCATACAAGACAAATCTACCAACAGCAAGAACTGACCTCAATATAATAGCTTGATAAAACTTTCTAAAAACAAATAACAGATATGAAACAGAAGTTGTGTCAAACTAACCGCCGGTAGCTTCAAATACCTTAACAGTCCAACCTTAAATGCCAAGTTTCAATGAACTCTCTCAAGGAAACCTTGCAATAAACAACTCTAATGCAAGAAAAACCTAAACAACTAGCCTAAATTAGTCTCCAGATTGTCATGCTTGTTGTTGAACGAACAAATGGTCCAAAAAAAAAAAAAACAAAACAAAACAAAACATGAAACATCATCTGATTTGTAACATGATCTTATGTAATTAACTTGTCAAGCTCTAGTTGTTTCCATTAACATGTTCTTTAAAACTCAAAGACATGCCAAATATATTGATTAATAGGCAGCTCAATGGTCAAAGCTGGAAATTTTTTATTATGTCCTGAAACTAAAAAAAAACCCCAACTAGCTATCTTCCTGCCAACAGAAGGCCTGCAGACTTGCTGGCGCATATTCTCAGAAAGACATAACAACAATGGGGACCAGCTTATGCAGACTCGTGACCTCTCGCCTCTCAGAAGCACGACAAATATCTTAATACACATTGGCTATGCAAGACCAATGAGCACAATTAGTGTACCAAAATACACACTTAAGTTGGGCTTATGATGTTAACCTCACAATCGCTAGTAACATTCACCTGCTTCATTTCTGTAAAATTGCAAGCCATACCAAATATACCCATTAAAGAAGTAAATCTTCGATACCAATCTATTGTCATTGAGAGAAACTGCAACAAACAAACTTAGCATAATTACAGAATTCCACGAAAACAAGAACAACCCAGGTGATGCGCCTAACCAGAACAGCTAGCCTGTCATTCCATACAAGGACAGTTGCTTGCCTTTAAGCAGTGATCAACTATTTGAAACTTGAAAACGCTTGTCTCTTCCTAAGCAGTGATCAACTATTTTGAGGCCGCGCCAATTAAAAGGATCTTGTCAACACCAAAATTTGGGAAAATTTGAAACTTGAATAATAAGTTCAACCTTCAACTTCAAATCCATATTTAGTGGCAAACAAGATAAATAGCCTCATACACCACCCTCCCACTATATCTTATCTGTATTTGAATGTGCTAATGTGGACAGTTTATAATCATGTTGTATTTACTTTGTTCTTCCATTCTTTTGTGCAGAACACTTCTTCTCGCTTTCTATGATAACAGCTAAAAGACAATCATAACTGAAAACTTCACATTAATTTTGCAGGATTCATTATTAGAAATCCCAAATCAAAACAATCGCCGATGTTAAAGTAGAAATTCAAAGATTATAATATGTTCAAAATGAACGAACTTCATTGTCTACCCTAGTTTCCAAAATGCACCAGTGGTCAGCCACAAAATGACTGATTTGCTAGCATCCCATAAGACCAGTTGATCTGCAACCAAATCTTTCAAGATCATAGGCATCAGTAGAATTTGAAAATGAAATAAAGATAGTCATTTAAAAAAGGGAAATTTACATAAATACCACAATACTTATGTATTTGCATATCTAAAACCCAAAGTTTCATATTTACATTTATAACACCTTGATGTTATAAAGCAATGCATGAAAAGGTGTATTTCACTTTTAAATAGGTAGTGATGGTAGTATTTCCCATTTGATTTTATAGATTTAAGTAGCATGCATGTAAATATGAATGTTTAGGTGTTAGATATGTAAATGCATAAGAACTGTGAGCAATGTATGTAAATGCACCTTTAGAAAATTAGCTTGCTACCAAAAATATAATATCATGGCCACTAGATGTCTAAGACAATGCCAAGCACAAATTCCATAGGTAAGTCAACCTCAGGACTAGAAGGGGCAGAAGGAGAACTATAAATGCTAATGTTTTTCAACAATTTTACATGTCTCACATGCATGACAAGAACAATAACTGTATCTCTTCCAAAATAAAAGCCAAAAGAACCTCCATTCAAGCAAATGTATAATTTATCTTTCCCAACATGATTATCCATGCCAGCAATATGCATTTTCCAAACAATATGATCATTAAAAGAGTATCCAAAAAATGCAAAGCAGACTATCTTTATAAGGAAATCCATCTCGAACTACTAACATAGCAGAAGGAATGTACCACATCAAAGGGCTTGTGATAAATCAAGTAAAGCATGTAAATACCCTTTTCATTTGAAACTAAGAGCATTGCATATAATTCAAGAATACAGAAACTTTGGAAAATGTGTTCATGGTTGGTTCTAAACGTCAGAAGTATGTTTAAAAAAAATGTATAGTCATGAAGTTAATCAAATCACTTGGCATGCCAACCACTCAACTTATTTTGAGTATTAATGTCTTATAGCTTGCTGATCAATGAGAATAATTTTTTTATAAAGTCGAAATTATTTTAAACTTAAATGAGACCATAAAATTATCTATGCAAAATAGAGCATCTTAACATAGCTTTGTTCCGCTCCTAGCTAAATTAGGCAATTTTTTTACCTATTTAGCTAAAAAGGCACCTATTCAAACACTAATGCATCAAAATATACCCAAAAAGCATACCAAAATTAGCACTTTCAAAATTGATGATGCAGCCATCAACACCTTTAAATGCTCAAAAGTTTTAGAAGCAGATGGTGCCCAAACAAAGTATTTGCCAAAGAGGTTAAGCACAACCACAAAAAACTGAATACAAGAAAAATATGGCAATATGATCGAAGAGACAATTAAAGATTTGACAATAGAAAAATGCATAGATATAGTCATTGCAACTACAAAAGAGGATGTAATTATAACAACATGAAATTGCGGAGATGGCAGCAATAAGTTAGAATGAGATAGGTGGAATGTTGTGTGAATAATGAAGAATAACTAGTAGTATCGGGGTAGAGGAAAGCTGACAACATGCATTGGTGAGGTCGGCTTAAGGTCGCAAAGATAGCAGCAAACAATACATTGAGTCCGATCTGGGCGAACTTAAACAGGCGGAGTTAAAGGAGGAAGAGAGGTCTGGCTAGAGCGAGAAAGCAATATAGCGTGAGTGCAGAAAGAGAGGAACTAAGATGACACAATCAGCAGAAGCATGGGATGGAAAGGGTAATGTAATGTTAATTTGTTTTAGGTTTCTATGATTTTGTGGCCTTGAAGGAAAATTGTGCAAAACATTACCGATTAAAAATCTTAGGATTTCACAAATTCATTGACGAAAAGATCCAATAATTGATGAAGACAAAAAAAATTGCGGGTGTGTAGATAAGAAATATGTGTACACAGCTAGTAATAACAATTGTACACAAATTGGATAAAGAGAGCATTCAATTGGCCCCAAAAAAAAAAAAATTTTACTCAATGAAATTTAATAATAAATAATCTGCATAAAGGCTACACATCTTTATTTGTAGAAACAGGACTATAAAAATAAGAGTACAAATTTTAAAACAAAGCTAATCCTAGCAAAAGATTCAAATTTAAAACTATAATTATTTAAAAAGGTTGAAAAAGGAATCAAATAAAGCTACAAAAAGTATAATAAACTTGGCAAAAAGTAATATTGACTCATAAATGTTAATAGTGCAAAATAGTATGCACTATGAATCAAACTTAAGTAATGTGCCTCCTGCACTATCAGCAAACTAAAGCAGGAAAAATCGAAGTGGCACATGCCCACAATGCTGGTAGCAATTGCTATTTAGGCTTTTATGCCTTAAAGTTTAAAAAGCCTGTTATAATTAATATTCATATTATTTATTGTTCCTTAAGTACGTCATTTAAAACCCTTTTAGTCTTCCAAAAGGGCCTCACAGCTATATTATTATGAACCAATCCAAACCCTCAAACAAGCAAAATATAAGGGACCCTAGCAAAACTATGGATACGCAACCAACCCCTCTCCAAAGTTTCATCTTATATGTGAGTTGAAAGAAACCCTATTATGAGCCAATAGTAGGTACATGTCTTCATCTTCAATCAACTTCATTGAATCAAGGCTCATCACACACTTCCCTCACATGCATGCATCCTACCCGCACTCGTAGGCCATTCACCTTTAAACTAAGGCTCAACCATTGGCCCCCACATAACCTTTCTCTTCACTCAAGGTTTTGTCACTTTTACATGTAACTTGTGGTTATGTCCGACTGAAAACCCACCTCCGCTTTGCAAGCATCTTATGGTGTTGACTTATGTCTCTTATGATATTCCTACTTATGCAATAATGTCATATTCACTCCCGATCCTAGGAATTTTTTGTCTTCTTTGACACTTCTTTGACATCTTTACTGTTTTTTGAGAACTTTTCTTCGCCTCTTCTTTGACAGCATGCTTGTTCTCTTCGATCGGTGTTATGTATATAGTTGCAATTCTAGTTTCGCAACAAGATCCTCCTCTTCCTTCCCATTTGGCTGTTCCCAAGCTTTAGATGAAACCCCTATTACATTGTCTCCATCAATCCCAAAAGAACCTCCCAAGATCCACTACTCCTGTTCTTTAGCAAAAGTCATTGGCAATTTGGTAGATTCTATTCATCCACAACAAGCAATCATTCCCCTAATTTTAATCAAGATGCAATTTTACATCCCCATATACTTCTTGTAAAATTCAGAGTAAACATGTCCTAATCTTCACTGATAAAAAGATCACTAAACTTGATAGATTCTTTATTTTTCTATTATCTACAATTCTCATTAGGTCATCCCAACATGGAGATTATCAATAATTTTTTATTTGATTTGCAATCAGTTAGCACGCATTTAATTAGGCCTATTATCCCCCATCATATCAATATTAATTTGTCCTCATAAGCAAACTACATTAGGCTTTTTTTCTCAATAGACTTATCATATTAGTAGTTTCTCGATATGCATTCTAGCATGGTCACCACATTTTGATTATTTTGAGAAACCACCAAGCACTCTATTCTAGATATCATCTTCTCCGATTTTAATTATATTATTCAACCAATCCTCTCTATAATCATTGGGTTCAATATTTGACAAATTCTTATAAATTGACGATGTTACAACACATCTCTCTATCATGCCTTCGTGGCGTTAGATGTTACTTCTTACTTGATAAATAAAGTATAAAATGACTCCCACTATTAAACAAGTGACAAAAGATGTACTTGGAGAATCAAAAGAAAAATATTTCTATAAATAAAAATAGTTGGTGGTGGAATAATAATGTGCAAGAAAAGATAAAATATAAGAAAATATGTAATAAAAATCGGTTTGAATCAAAAAGCTTCTAGAACTTGGAAAAATATCAAAAGCCCCGTAGAGAATTTAAAAGAACAATCTATGACGCTAAAAATTCTACTATTAGGGATCTTTATAATAGATTAGATACTAAGGAGGGTGAAAAATATATGCATAAACTAGTCAAACAAAGAGAAAAGAAAAATAAAGATTTAACTCAAGTGTATTAAAGATGAAAATCAAAAAGTGTTTTTCTTGTAAAAAAAATATTCAATATAGGTGGGTGAGTTATTTTTATAAATTTTTTAATAAAGTTTCTGAAAATAAGATCGATCTTAGAGATCTTAATAACGTTAATAATAACAAAACGATTCATTTTAACGTCGCATTAGTAAAAAGGAAGTTAAAGAAGCTTTAAAAAAAGCCAAGGGTGGAAAGTCTGTAGGACATGATGATATCCCACTTGAAGTGTGGACATATTTAGGAGATTTGGGAGTTTCTTGGCTTACTAAACTCTTTAATATTACTTTAAAAACAAAAAAAGATACCTAAGGAGTGGAGGAAAAGTATTTTGGTCCTCATTTTTAAGAATAAAGGGGATGCACAAGAGTGTGCAAATTATAGAGGAATTAAGTTGATGTGTCAAACTTTAAAATTATGAGAGAGGGTAATTGAACATAGGTTAAGATGTATTACAAAGATTTTTCATAATCAATTTGGATTTATGTCGGGCAGGTCTACCATGGAAGTTATACATTTATTTAGAGGTTTAATGGAGATGGTCAGAGATAATAAAGAGGATCTACATTTGATTTTTACATTTGATTTTTATTGATTTAGTGATTTAGAAAAAGCTTAATATAAGGTTCCAAGAGATATCCTTTGTAGAGTTCTTGAGAGGGGTGTTGATGTGGCTTATATTTAAGTCATTAAAGATATGTATGCTAGAGCTATTACTTGTCTTTGAACTGAAGGAGGATTGAACAAATATTTTCCTATTTCTGTTGGATTACATCAGGAATCGGCTTTAAGCCCATGTCTTTTTGCTTTGATTATGGATGGTCTTAATGGACATTTATAGGAGGATGTCCTTGGTGTATGCTTTTGTTGATGATATCCTTCTCGTGGATAAGACGAGAGAAAAAGCCTAGAAAAACTTGGATTCTTAAGGTCTACATTGGAGTTTAAAGGCCTTCATTTGAGTACAATTAAAACTAAATACATAAAATGCAATTTTAGTAATAATAGCTCTAGTGACAGAAGTGTAACTTTGGGTGATCAAATTATTGAGTAGAACTAAAACTGAATATATGGAATGTAATTTTAGTAGTCGTAGCTCTAGTGACAGAAGTGTAACTTTGGGTGATCAAATTATTAAAAGGTGTGAGCGATTTAAATATCTCGAGTTTTTTGTTCAAAGAGATGGTGATATAGATGGGAATGCTAATAGTAGAATTCACTTTGGTTGGTTGAAGTGGAAGAATGTTTCGGGTCTTTTGTGTGATAGAAAAGTTATGCTTAGACTGAAAGGAAAAATTTATAAGATGGTGGTGAGACCTGCAATGCTCTATGGCGCTAAATGTTGGCCTTTAAAAGAGAAGCATAATACTATGTTAAGTGTTGTCGAGATGAGAATGATTAGGTGGATGAGTGGCTTTACACTTATAAACAAAATGAGAAATGAATATATACGTGATAGGGTTGGTGTAGCTCCAGTGACGGGCAAAATTAGAAAGTCATCTTAAATGGTTTGGTCACATTAAAAGTCGAACATCTGATGATCCGATTAGGAGAATAGATGTTTTAGATTCGACTTATTCGACATATGTTAAGAAAGGCAGAGGTAGATCTAGAAAGACTAGGGCTTAATGTATAAAATATGCTCTTAATTTATTAGAACTAAATGAAAATACGACACTAAATAGGACGCAATGGAGAAAAAGGATTCATGTAGCCGACCACACGTAGTGAGATTAAAGCTCTGTTGTTATTAAAAAATAGTCTATCTCAAGCCAAGCAAAGAAGCTTATCTTCATCTACAATCTACTCAATGTTAAATGCACAAATCTCCTGAACTGAACACGAGCCCCTATTAATTTTCAATCATGCTTATGAGTTGAATGCAACCCTCTTCAGTTACAACAAGACCCACCCAAGTGCTAGCCCTATACGCTTAAATTTTCTCTATTAGAAGTTACAAGTCCATATTCCTATTGATCCCTCATTTTTTTATTTGTCAAAAGGAACATTGCATATAGTTTTGTTTACTTTTTCATCTTTCCTTTGATATTACCATAGCATTTTCCGCCTATAAATAGTATAGTTATTTATACAAAACATGCAAATAAATTATTTCTAATGTTTTAAGTGGTTTAAGTCAAGGCATCCAAAATTAGCGTTTTGACCTAATATTATGCATTTTTATAACAATCATGCTTTTATTTAAAAAACTCAATTGTCTTCATACCATGATAATTAATTTTTCAACCTACTTGTCTTCATAAACATTCATATATGTAAATGTCAAAACAATCTCATGCCAAATAACACATTGATAATGACATTTTCCAGTAGGAATATTCTCTTATTCTATTACTTATTAATAAATTACGCATAATCATATCATATTTTTGAAATATCTAAATGAGTGATACATCACATGCAAAGATGTGTTATTCACTCTTGATGTATAAGCCTTAAAAAACAGAAAATGGTAAATTCAGCAATATTTTACTTTCTGTAAATGGCCAATGGAAATTAATTTTTTTACTGGTTGATTTGGACTAATTAGTGGACCGTAATGCACCAATGAGCATGCGCACTATCATATGATGCTACTGATCCATAAGAACAATGTAAGCATGGACTGAACTTTAAAGTATGAAATAAAAGTATGAAATTAGGGAGTAGGGAGTTCCCGGATGAATCTTCCAAATTATGTAGCATTTGCTTTAGTTTGCATTTCCTTGTATCGCTACTCTTTCATGTACTCTTGTAAGCTATTTTCTTGATTGGTCCTTTAATGAAAAGGTTTTGTACTCCGCATTTCAGAAAAAAAAATCTGCAGTAAATCATGCATTCACAACAATAACAGTATTCAAGCGGCATCTTTGATATCTCGCATAGTGAGAAAGACACTATTGAAAAGTGGCGCTTTTTTTCTCATACATGAGCTAAGACAAGATTGTAAAAAACGTCCAAAAAGGTGAAATGATGCCAGAACATAAAGCAAGGGGCAACGTACAACAGTATAAGTGAAAGAAAAACAAAGCTCACCCGCTCTTGTTGAATCAGTTCAAGCTTCCTTCTATACAAATTAGCATACTTCCGACGCTGAATACTGCATAAAAGTCCGTGGGATGAAATGTTTATTAGCATTAGTAGTAACATAACAACAAATTGAAATTTAAAAACAGTAAAATTAGTTGCAACATATTTCACATAATTGCAAGGAGATAACAATAGCTTTGACAAAATAAAATGTATCATGGCAATTACAAACCATCTATCACCATAACTGTATAATCATTACATATAAAGCAATGTTATCTAATAGTGAAGCTAACTGAAGACAACAAGAGGGAACTTCGAGTTTGGTTAGACAATATCTTCCTGTTCACCTTGAAGACAATTCTCCAGCAACCAGTTCAGCAGCCAATTCAGAAATATATGGAAATCGTATTAGCTCACCTTAAATATATAAGAAACCTATACTTAAATATATCAGAAACCTATGATACAAAAGATTATCATAAATCAATCTTCATATGCAGAAAACAATTTAGGATGACTAACAGCATTCTTCTCATTTATATAATTGCAAATTAAATAAACAGCCTACAGACAAAATTTCACCACCTTTTTAACTGAAAAGCTGGATGAAAGCTTGCTTGTCATTAAGAACCAAAAACACGAAAAAAAAAGAAAATTACATAACGGCCATTTGAACAAAAAAAAAACAGAATGTTATCGACTGCATATAATATAGCAATATGAAACCAAATAGAAATCGTATGATTGTATAATGTTTTAGCAACTCTATATAGTTTGAGGTTTATTTTTGTACAGTTTCCTGTTAATGTTTGACATGAACAAATATTAGAATTCAATTGTAAAAGTTTTCTTATGAAAATTTGATGACACTAATTCATTATTTAGGCCAGAATTATATGAGTCGAGATGAATATTAATGGAAATTGAGTCTGAATAAGTCACCCTCTGCTACACCTTCGTTAGGCCTGACGGGTTCAGTTGAAGAGTGAAAATATATATGGGATTATCTCATCATGTCGGGGATTGCACCACACTCTTGCCCCCCAAAAATATTCTCATATTCTAACTACTTCTCCAAAGTTCTTCTTTCATGTATTCTCTTCCTTGAGATTCCTTCAGTACTCTTATATCTCCTCTCCTATGAAGCTACAATTATGATCACCAATATTACTTGGGAATGATCCAGTGTGGAGGTTAAAAATTATTCAAGGTCTGTTCAGTTTTAAGATTCTATCAAAAGATAACCTAATCTAGTGGATAAAAAGTTTGAACTTGTATTTTATCATAGATACACAAATCATTAAAAAAAAATCATCCTCCCAAATTTTCCAGATTCCACACTATATGTAATAACACACCTGAAGACTTTTGGAATTGCATTTAAATGTAGGACTGCTGCTCTTCTCACTGATAAATATTATTAGTTCAACAATCTAGTTTTGTTTGAATGTATTTTGTATACGTGCTTTTTATGTTACAAATCTTCATAGTTGTGCAACATTTTTAATGACTTGTGACAACTTCATCATTATATAACGAATCACCTGAAACAACAATGATAATATCCATTTTTTATTACATTGAAAAAAAAAACAAATATAAATATCTGAAATTCAATGAAATAGAAAAAAGTGCCAAAATGCCTCAAATTCAGGCATTTGGGACCAGTTTTGACTTATTTTGATTAGTCGGTGAAATTCTAATCTTGAAGCAACTAACTAGCCTTTATGTGCTACAAAAAAGTAGGATTTAACTATATCTCATTCATTGAGTTCTTAGCAACATATAAAAGATGGTGCGATGCATGAAAGTAGAAAAGAGCGAGGGAGATTCATGAGTGTATAGTTATGGGTATGTGAAAAGATTTACTCTTTTTTAAGAGCATACAAGAATAAGTTTGTATATTGTTATCAAATGAATCTGCTTTGCAATGTATGATTGTTTTAAGAAAAGTAAAAATTGATGCGCATACGGAAATGTAAGAGTAAAGGATAAAAATATAAGAAAGCTTCCAATGTAGAAACAATGGATTCAACATGAATATTAATGAATATTTGTGAATGATATTCCTCAAAATTTTAATTAAAGGAGCGAGCACATAAGAAATTTCATATTAAATTATTAAAACATAAACCAATCTATCAAATACAAAAATAATTAAACAAAGAATAACAAAAAGAGTTGAACGAAAGAATTTATGATCAATTTAAAAGAGAATATCGCAAGGTTTCATGAAAAACTGACATTCTTTTACCAAGGCTGCTCCAGGATGTTTTCCACAATTTCTGGCGAACATCGGCTAAAACAGCATTCTGTGCATATTGCCACCACATCCTTTGCCATCCAGTAAGCTTCCTAGATAATGAGATTATTGATGGTCGAAAACGTCCATATCTATGGAATCAAGTGACAATAAAAAGAATACTAGTCAGAAGATAATCATGCTGGATGAGAAAAATATTTATAAAGAATGGATTAGGTAAAGGAAAAAAAAACAAAATAAAAGACGCACAGATAGTAATGCTCACCATAAAAGTTGGTGAAAATGCACAAATTAAAAATAATGAAGAGGGTATGTCCTCATAAAAGGGGTTGATAATGACAATAAATTTCACCCTTAAATTTGTAAAATATAACTTAGCATAAGGTTTTTGGACGGAGGTAGAGCCATTGCCTAGTTGGTCCAACCCACTTCCTAAAGGATTTAAGTTAAAGCAGTAGTATATGATAAGAGCCAAGTATGGTGACTATTGGCCAACTCTGATAAGCTCCAATTACAACGAATAAAAAATTAAGAAAAAACATATTCAATCCAAAAAATTAATCGGAAATAAAACCATATCCAATTAAAATAATAAAGAATTTTAACTCATCATTTAAAAAAAATTTAAATTTTGTAAAAAAATAAATAAAATATAAAAAATCATTGAAAAATACAACATAAATTTTAAAATTCATCCAATAGCAGTTGCCACACACCGGCAGCCAAAATTAAAGGTTACAAAATTTAAAATAAAATTTATAAACTAATCTTGATATCAAAATAATTGTGACTGCTTGGGTTGGTGAATTCATAAATCTTGCTTTTGGCAATGAATTTTATTAACAATTTACGTTGAGTTACAAAATTCAAAAAGTTGTCTTTTACATGAAGTAATAAATAACCTACACATTTGGATCTGGAAGAAAAGTGAAATCATTATTGATCAAATTAAGAGAGGTGTCTTAATGGACCTATAAAAATGTTGAAGTATGCCTATCTCAAGATTTTGAATTCTACACATGCCAGCTATTTTATAGCACATGTTCTATGCATTTGAATTGTTGCTCTGAGATCTAACCTAAAAAATTATTGCTCCAGTTATGGTGCTTCATTATGTGTGCGATCTCTTGATATTAATTGCATGTCTATTTATTTTTATCCAATTGAGATATTAGGCTTAATTATTTATCAACCATAATATCAAGATTGTCACTGCCAAGCAACGGTTGCATCAAGAATATTGTAAATGATCATCACAATGCAAGTTGATCGATTATAAAAGTAATGATATAGGATTCAACAATCAAAATAGTTTTAAAGTGAGCTTAGTCGATCATGACAAGATGCCTGCTAATCCTTTTTATAAATGGATCAGCAGCTTCCGCTGAGAACCGAATATTTAAGAATGCCATAACAAACTTGCTTATTTATATCGTCATATTATTCACAGTTGAAGAACAATCATAAAGAGTAAAGGTATATTGACTTTATTGGTTTTATGTGGTAAGAAAATGAAAAAACCTATTTACAACACCTGAGAGGCAGGTGTCGCTCACTCGAACTCCCGCCGCTCATGAAAAGGATTATATGATAGATTCTTCTCTCATTCCTTTCATTTCACATGTGAGAGAGATAGAGTGGGAGACAGTGAGAAAGGGGGAGAGAAATCGATAGAGAGTATATGAAGTCTAGGTAAGGAGTCGAAACTCGCGAGTCCGAAGGAATAAGAAAAGAAAAGAGGAATAAGAAACAACATTAGGAGAAGAAAGAGGTAAACGAAAAGGAGGAGAAAACGAGATCGAACTGAAGGGAAGAGAGTTATGGCGGGTCACCTAGTGTGTCGTTTCTTTCCATTCTACCAAACAAACGAGCGAGACAGGCACTCGAGAAGCTCAAATCAAAAATACAAGTAACGTACAAAGGAAGAAGGGTGAAGCCGCATGCAGAGAAAGGGAAAACCGTGCACTTTCCTTGTGTAAGGGAGAATCAAGCATCTCATAAAGAAATGATCGAGCTCCTAACGCAAGGCACGGCTCGTGAGAGCTTTTCCTGTGAGCTTTTCCAGTGGGCTTTTGCACCTAATCAAGCCAAATAGAAGTGCATGCGGCTTGTAGGAACACTCGATCGCGAGCTATGGGAGAAGGAATAGGCCGCAAAAACCTTCTTGCTTACCTGAAGGGCTCCAGTAAGCCCCACCTGCTCGGTGAGTGAGTTAGGGCAAGGCTGTGAAAGTTAAAGGGGAGAATTCAGCTTCAGTAAGAAAAATGAAACTTAATTTTTAGGATTTATGTTAATTTTATTTTGCTAAAGAAAAATTTAATAAAAATTAAAATGAAATTTCAGAAACTTTACTTATTTCGATTTTGTTAATAATTGTCTAAAGGTAACTGGCAATAAGTCTAAAGCAGGAAAAAGAGAACTTTGCTATGGAAGGGATTTCAGGTATGAAGCTTAATTTAAAATTTAACTACTCTTTATATAATTAAATTAGGTTTAAAAGCCAAATAAACATGTTTCTATGCATGTTAAAAAAAAATTTAGTCAATTAAATTTATTTAAATGCAATATTTTAGAGTATAGTAATACTAATTGATGAGATGACATAATATTAAGATAAAGTTATAATTGAATCAATTAGTTATATGTTTTAGAAAAATAAAGGAAATTTAGATGACTATATTTATATAGGTATATGTAAATGTTTATATAATTAAATAAACTATGAAAATAATAATAACAATAAATCTAGAATTAATAGGAAAGAAGATTAACCCTGAAGAGAAATTAATTATATCTAATTTGTGACTATAGGTGCACTTAAGAACTAAATTCACCTAAGGAAAAAAAACAGCCATTTGACCCTACAGGTGTGTAACTATATTTTATTTTACAATAATTCCGCTTATTTATACATGTATTTACTGTTTTTCAGCTCTTCTTTTACAATGCAAAAGTTCATGTTTTTTTAATATTAAATGTAAAAAATAAATAAAATATGATATATACAGTATATGGGAGTCACCCATGGATAGTACTAACAAATGAATATAATGTACCCATGCACAAAAATGAATATAAAAATAGAAATTATTGACTTCTTTATGGTGGGTTTGAAAATATTTAACATATATTTTTTTTAAAAGTAAATGTTTAAACGATGAATTTCAATAATGAAAAATGAAACAAAAATAAATGAAAGTAAATAGAAAAATATTTTCTTTATTGTTCTTTTACTACACATTATCTTTTTTATTATTTATTACATTTAAAAAAAATATTTTAAAATGAGAATAATTGCAATTTAAGAACATTTGTCAGTTGAATGGTTTTAACTCAATTTTTAGCTGCTAACATTTTACAAGAAAATGAACTTTAGGCTAGATGGACACCAATGAGCACGACTGCATGCGACGAGAAGTGTAGGATAATAGGTATTCTAGTTCAGCTTTATTTTCTGTTAGATATAAACGTTTAAATGTGAATAAACACTTGTAAATATAAATTTTATGAAATAAAATGACTTTTTGTGGTTTGAGTTTAATTTTTATTATGAAATGGAACTGTAAGATGATTTTCCTCCATCCGACCGACAGTTCCCGCATTGATAATTCTAATATCCCGGGTAAGGTCGTGAAAAGAGTGATATCAGAGCCCAAGTAAGAGCAAAATGAAATTGATAATAAAAGATTTATTAGAAAAATCAGTAATACTCATCAAGAAAAGTAAAAAGTAATTGTAATGTTTATGCTAATAACAAAAAAAATTTGATATCTCGGGGTAATTAATATTGATCCAGAGAATGCTAAAAGGAATGATAGAAAGGCAAGAGTTGTTGATCAATAGAATTTGGTGCCTGCAGCATATATTAGATCCTCTATCTAGTAGTGCTAGCATCCTTATGGAGGCATTTACTCAAATGATGCCCCAGAGACACGACTTATTCAAGATTTAGACTCGGTTCAATGTGAATGAAACAACACAAATGGATAAATATCTAAAGCCGTTACAGAACATGCGACCCCCACTTTCTAGGAGCAAGAGGTCCAATTGAGACAGAGAACTAGTTGTTACAGATAGCAAAAATCATGAACGGTTTGTCCTGCACTAATGAAAGGAGGGTCTCATTGGCTAATTTTGACTTCGAGGGGGAAGTAGAGAGGTGATGGCAGGGACAACTATAGGAGAAGAATGAAGGATGACCCAGTAGCCAGATTTAGTGGAAACATTTCGTGAAGACTATCCGTGATTGGTTTGCTCTTCTCTACGAAAAGAGGCGATGAGGGACCGATTTATCAGTCTGGTGCAGGGAAACCGCTCCATCATGCAGTACGAGGCTGAGTTTACAATGCTACCTCGCTATACACTCATTTAATCCTCGATGCCAAAGATAAGTTACATTATTTTCTATCTGGATTGAAGGATGTAATTAGACAACGACAACCTTTAATCTCTCCATGCACTGAGGATTACTCGGTTCTTGTAGAGAAAGCGAGGACAAAGGTTGACTTGCTGACTACGCAGAGGCATAGAGATTTTAAAAGGAGGAGAGGATATGAGAGGTATGGATATAAGCAGGTCGCTCAGTGTGTCCAGTCTGGGCAATCCAATTTAAAAAAGTCTAGACTCAACATCAGTTGGTTTTGGCAATGACATAAACAGTAACAACAGCATGTCCACTTATGCCAACTGTGTAAGATCATAGAGGAGAATGTTTCTTAGGCAACAACACCTGCTTTTGTTGTCATCAGCTAAGACACATGGCAAGGTCATGTCCTACTTTGGGCCAGAGACCTCAGGATGATGTAGACTTAATGCTCCACCTTCTCAAAGGACTTTTGGCAAACATAGGAGAGCTGAATTGTCAGGATCAGTTTTAGCTCAGAGTTAGACCCACCAAGGTATACGACCAAGAGTATATGCACTAGCTCAACAAAAAGCAAGGATTTCACTTGATGTCCTTATAGGTATTTCTTTATTTCAATAGATCTATGACATTTTATTTATTTTGAGACTTTTATATTCTCTTCATTTTTACATTATCCAAAATAAATTAATTAGAACTTTATTTTGATATTGGAGCATCACATTTGTTTATCTTTGAAAATTTTGTGTATCTAAATAATTGGAATTA